ACGATCCCAGAGTTCTTCGCGCAAACACGGGTATCCGATTACTGGCAACTCATTCATTGTATATGTAATATCATGGGTGACAAATTACTCCTTAATTTTAGCGCGAAATATGACAATACAAAATTTTATCCTTGCATTCACAACTAAGCTCACATATTTTCTATTTGCCATTTTTCTCTACGCATTTTATCGTCTTATTCATTCATGTTTGCTTTTTTACCGGCGCCGCGGCGTCGCTTCACGGAAAATAATTTACGCAATCCACGCCGGTTTGTTTTGTCCTCTTAATTACGCTCGAACATTACCGCGACGCATTCACAGCTTGTTATCATTCATTTGCCAGTATCCTAGAAAAGTTAGCACTAATGAAGCAGACTGCCTTAATTAAATTGAAGCACCCTCACAAGAGTTTTATAAACAATCCGTCTCAACATTTCGTCGTCTTAATTCTTAGGCTGTTCACATTCGATCGTTGAACGCGCGGATAGAATCGCGAGAGAACTGGACGCCAGCGCAAAACGGAAGACTTGACTGGGTAGGGGGCGGGGAACCACTCATATCCTCGAGTGCTTCGCGCTCGCTGCGCTTGCTTTTTCTTTCGCGTGCGTAAATAGAGAGGCTGTAGCCTGCGAACAGGCTCCCGGTCCCCGCCCCGATCGCTTTGCTCTCCGAATTCTTCTGTTTCGCGCTCGCCGGAATTTTTTTCCGTCCTCGCCAGGAGCCCGTTCGCAGGCTAGGGAGGGTGTGAACAGTCTATCCTCGTCTCGACCTCAATCTCATCGGATATCCATTCAAAACGACAACTTTTGATGGAACCCCTTTCCAAATAGTCTGCGTAGCAGCCGTTTCCTTTCGTTTTCGTGGAGACAAGCGAGCGAAGGAGCCCGCCTGGGGTTAGCAAAAAATGGGGAGAAGTGGGCAAAGGTTGAGCCAGAAGGGGGAGGGGGTGGAACCAGACAGAGACAGAGACCAACGACGCGTGGAACGGATCAAGTTTCGTGACCTCTAACAATAATAAACGTATTTTTGTATACACCGTTCGGCAGTCGTTGATTCACAGGCCGTTGTCGATAGCCGGTTTGGCAGTAGGGACGCGTTTTAATGGCCGTTGCCGCTGTGCAGAGGTGGCCGTTGTAGAGAGGTTAAAATAAGAGTGAATGTATGGACTGTCCTCCGGACATAAAAAAGTGGCCGCTTTAGAATATACTAGGACCGTGGATTATCTGTAACCCAGCTGATTAGCTAAGCGTAACTCCACGTTAAATTAAGTATCGTATCGTATCGTATCGTATCGTAGAGAGGGTGGCCGTTATAGAGAGGCGGCCGTTAGTGGAGTGAGTTTAGAAGCATATAATGTTTCAACCCCTAGCCTATGCAGCACAACAGCATTTTTTCTTTCATTTCTCTTCTTTTCTTTCTCTTCTTTCCGAAACACCGTCTGCGTCTGCTGTCGTTCTGAACAATCCACTTTTGTTTTTTCGTTTTTTTTTTTCGTTTTTGTTTTTTTTTTTTCGCATCTCCTGATATTTCTCTTGGAAATACTTGACATAAGCGTTAGCTACGATAAACCTGTTACTGGCAAAAAAATAAACAAACAAACAGACAGACAGACTCGTCACACAAATTTGCAATTATGTAAGATCAAACAAATATGAAAATGTGTTTATTGAATAGTTACAATTAGGACCATTCACTCAAACGTTTAAGCAACCACTACTTCCTCGATGCTGTCCAAATATACAATCACGTGTTTGTTCGTTCTTCGCCAGTGAGCCCAGTAACGTGAGAAGTAGATATTCATTGTCAATCCTATAGAAAATGCCAAGAAAAATGGGAGTCCTGTACCAATGCCAGCAATTCCCAGACTCGCTGTTGTGTGGCAAGTGGGCTGTTGTTCGTAGTAACTGACTAAGATGGCCATGCCAGTAAGTTGAACGAAAAACATTCCAAAAAATACCACTGTAAACACCAACATAGCAATGTCGTTTGCAGGCATCGGAGGACATTGCCACTGAAATAAAATATACACAGAGGATATTACACGGTGACGAAACGATATGAATTTTATGTTAGACTGGCAAAAACAAGATTTCATGAGTGAGCGCCCTCGGAAGGGCACCAACTTGGCGTTACCATACAAAGCTCTATTGACTTGGGTGAAACACTTCTCCAGATAACGCGCGAATGAAAAGCCGCACAGACCTAACTCTTGGTCGGTGATGTTGTTTACATATCAATCATCTATCATGTCTCAGATTTTTGACTTAATTGATTGAATGGTTACGATTTTAATTTTTGATTGCGTGACGTTGCAAACCAGCCATATACAACAGAAACCCCCATCGCGAAGTTACAAAACTCTGGGTTAGCTTAATCGGGCTTTGAACAACCCGGCCTAGAAGGATCAATACGTTAAAGCGAACCTTGCTCACGTGGACAACCCAAGCTGCTCTTCGCGCATTCTCATTCCCGGCGAACATTACCTGTTGGAGAACTGGGCACTATCTATAAAAACATTGGCGCAATTTGTCTAGATCCTGTGCGGTTTTCTTCAAGGCCTTCCAGGTCGATTCTTTATTATATTTTTTTAATTTAATTTTTTTTTTTTCATTCATGTTTGCATAACAATCTGACGTCGCAACAATTCGGTGAAAATTGCTGGAGAAAGTTCAGACAAAAGATTGAGGTCGCATTTGATGTGGGAGACGTTGAAAAAAAGTAGAGGGCGAGCACATGGTGTGGGAAGTCGGAAATCGCTGAAAAAATGCAAACCCTTTGAAATAAAGGAACTTCCCTGCAGCAGCAAGCAAAATACATAGTTGATATTTTCGACCTCTCAAAACAGGCTAACGTTAGGCTAAAGGCATGCCATTGAATAATGCAACTTACTTATCACTGAATCATATTTAAAAGCATTGCATCAGATTTTCCCGATTATAAGGTGCTTGCTGGGATGTTTTTAATTTGAAATTCGGCGTGAACGTTTGTTTGAAAGTAGCTTTGCAATTTAAACCTTTTTTTCAACCGCGCGTTAAAATAATAGCCCGTCTGGACACTAGCTGACTTTTGTGAATGGCGCGTTAAACAGCGCGTTAGTTTGTTAGTTAAATATAAGCGTAGTACACTGTTAAACAAGTATCACGCTTAAATTCAGTGCAGATTACCTGTCTTATCGGTTTGAAAATTCTTTTCGTGCGGAAGTGGTAATTGCAGATCGGGCATCTGTCGGTGTACACAGCACTTAACCACGTCTCTAAACACGACTTGTGTACCTCCCCCATGGTTCCTTTACACCAGCACACTCTATGTAAAGATTCGTTTTGTTCTCCGCCAGTGTTGTGACATATTCGGCACATTGGAAGATCATCCCCCAACGAAATAGAGGTTAAAGAGCACGAAACTGGGAGTACGGCTGGAGTTTGACACTCTTCAGCCATCGTAACAGCTTCACTATCACATGAACTCTTTCATTTTAAGCGAAAGCAACGTCACAATTGATTTCACTACACGGTTGCCATGACTGCGTAAAAGCGCGCGCGCGCTCTGTTCGTGAGGATCCCTGACCGTTTTGAGAAAGCTTATACGAAGTAATCGTTCATAATTATATGCCATCGGGACGAAACCGTTTAGTTTCCGCACTCCACACAGACTAAAACCTGTGCATGGGTGCAGATATCGAAACCTTCGGACAGTAGGCTATGTTAATTAGGCGAGCATTGCAATGACGGCAAACTTGTTTCTTCATTACGCGAGCTGACATTTTTGGGAGGACATTTAACAGAATGGTGCGTTACATAATCAACAGAATGTCTCATTGTATCCAAAAGGTTTACGTCTTTGCTCATTATCTATGGGTGCAACTTACGTTGTGTTGCAGCCACAGAATCAGTCACTACAAAGAGTTTGTAAAGCTTCACAAACTCGTTACGGCTTTTCGAGGATAACCTCATATTTATCACTTCAAAGAAATCTCAGGCTCACTATTGAAAATGATATAAAAATGAAGTATTTAAATATGTAAATTATATGCAGTATTCTCAAAATACAAATTAAATTGTCTATGTACACCGATGAAAATATCAAGTCTTACAAGAAGGAAACAAACAAACAAACAAACAAACAGACAAACAGACAAACATAAAACAACGAGGAGATGCAAGAAATCGCTATAACATTTAGCGCTGAGAATGGAAATTTCATAACACCACTTGACAATAATGGTAGGAATGTTTAAGTAACTCCTTTATTACCATTGCAGACTGGGTAATAGTTTCCTCGTCGACTGTATTTTACTTTGAAACTTTAAGGCGCTTGGCACCTACAGCTGAAAAAGAAAACAGATATACTCAGTCGGAGTGGGTATGTTTTCTTCCCTGTTGATCAGAGTAACAAGTGGAACCCTTTTCCCTGGATACACGACTAGGTTTACCAGAGTAAGCAGTACCGAAATAGTACCACTGTCGTCCTATATCCTGGCCAAACAGGTTGGCACTAATCATTAGTTTTCAGTTATGAATTAATTGTGTACAAACTGGCGTTCAGAGAACAAACGGACAAATAGACTTGCCAACGTATGTAAGTTTCCGAGCAAACGAAGCGAGACGAAAAAAAAATTCAAACAAAACAATCGAATGGTTTAGCGTGGTTTCTGCGCGCGCTGCCTCTAAAAAGTCGAAGAAAGCATTACGTTGGGCAGCTAAAAGGTGAAAGGGTGTAACAAATCGCACCGGCCTGCTCAAAGTAAACGCCAATCCGAAATGAAATCGCAAGCTAAGTGGACACAACATATATTTAGGGTCAATTAAGAATTTTACTTCGATTTCATACAGGCTGCCATCCAGAAGAATTGCCTTGAATAGCGAAATACTCCCTTCCATGTCTTGGAAATGATAAAACAGTTTCCAATCAATCATTAGGTCCATTCCCTTTACTGATGAGTTTAATTATTCTCATCACATTCACGCCTCACTTTGTACGAGCAACTAACGAGAAATTACATGTAGTTACTACATTACTTTCAAAAATTTTCGGACGATTTTAATTTCGGACAAAGAGGTGTCCGAAAATAAAACCTTCCGAGAGTTTTAAGCGCCCGAAATATTTACAGTACAGTATAATATTTATATATTTATATTTTATCTAAATCTTTGAAGTAGTTCCAAAGCTCTTAGTTTCCTTTATGGAGCGAACTCTAGTTGAGACACTGCTTGAAGTGCGTAACGGTTTGATAGAATTTTCCTTATTGTCCCGTCGCTGTATCTATAAACCCTTGAGGGTGCAGAAAAACTATCATTTTCACAGATGTTGTTCCAGTCCAAAACGTGTTTTGTAGGTGTAAATTTACGTTAGCAATGTTTCGGCAAAGTGTCCGAAATTTTAACGTACGAAATTTTTTGCAAGTAATGTACTCTCCTTTGAGACTGAAAGGCAGCGCTAAAAGTTACACTTAATAGGAGAATGATAGTATTTGTATGCCTTACCAGTGACATAACAGACTTCAACATTCGCTCCAAGTGATGCCAACACATCAAGCCAGATTTGTTGCTTAGTAGAGAGCTTGTCTCCAGGTCCCTTGACCTCAGCAATCTGACGGTACAATTACAAAAAAAACACTACACTTAGTTCAGGACCCGTGATGGAGAATTGATGCGTTTTACAGCGGAATGTTCCGTAAGTTTTGAAATTTTTGTATTGTTTTCCAGTTATTCCTTTCCATTCAACAACCAACTAAGCTACATGAATTACATGTATCAGTCGAAGCAAGTTTGTGAAGCAGACCTTAAGAAACCAATACCTTTATTTAGGAACCAAGTTCTCTACAAGGTGGGGATGCTTGGCACTTTGGCAAAGGAGAAATTCCAAAGCTAAAATTCCAATAATTACTTCTTAATACCAAAACCTCTCAAAGACAAAGTATTCCACGCCTTCACGGTAGAGGAATCTTCACCCGGTCCCATGTCAACCAGTGTCGTTCTAAATATATAATTTTTTCTTCTAACACTGATGGTTTTTCTGTTTGTGGTAAATCTGATTCATCACAATCTCGTCACAATACATGTACTTGTATCTTACCATGTAATCCAAAGTAGACGAATTCCACACCACTAGGTCAGGCAAACCAGATCGATGATAGCGATAACCTTGAGCGAACCGAGTAAATATGCCTGATAACACCTGGCCACCCAGACAAGCCACCAGTTGCTAGAGAAAGAGAAAAATTGCTTCAGTATTACAAAGATGCACATGAGCTGAAGCGATTGAAGTGTATTATCCCTGCAGTCATCGCAATACAGATTTGTTAGCATAATCCTAAGACAAGGAAAAAAGCAGATCAAACCATAGTTTGAAATCAATTGAACCTGAAAGTGCTTTACAACAACAGGGGTTTTATTAAGGGCTGGGCACCAGGCAAACTGACCAGCTGTGAGAATGATTAAGGCTGCCTGGTTTGACCATCTACGGGAAAGTTTCTCTCACTTATAAAGAAGTTCAGTTCAAAACATTTTGCCCGGCTGTGAAAACCAGTTACCCTCCTGCTGAAAACGTTAACAAAACCCCTGAAACTACAACAATTTTATTACACAAGTCATGTGAGGTACATATAGGTTTTTAGTGTTTGAACCATTGGAGCCAATTCAAGTGGCCCCATTAGGCAGGCGCTTATAGTACCCGCTTTCCATAGCATACAGTGACAGAGTATTTCTACTCCCCTCTAGATGGCATGCTAGTCCGTTACAGGGTTACCCCCAGCATTAAATTCTCACCAGTACCCATGTATACACCCGTTGGAGAGAGGCACTGTGAGAGTAAAGCATCTTGCCCAAGAACACAACACAATGAACCTGCCAGGGCTAGAACCCAGACCTGACCATTTGATCCTGAGTTCAGCACTCTAGGTATTTAGTCATCACATCTCCCAAAGGCTCTTGATAGAAGGCAAGAATACCACAAGATAAAGACTGCTCCACACCTTCGCTTGTTCTACATTTGTGAACCGATCCCAGTTGAGGCCTGCACAAAGCTCGCTTTCATGATTATTCCATGTCTTGACAAGTATTTCCTGAAGTTTCTGAAAGAAGGAAAATTAAGTAACAACTATAGTTAGTACCACATATTTGGGTAACTAGCAATAATTAAACAATGACAAGAGTAGCATCCATCTACCTTGACTGGTGCTGCTGTTATCTCTTCCAACCTCTTGACAATCATTTCCTTGCGGCTGGTGTAAAATGAGTCAAAACATATGTCTAAAGGTGCAGCCTAAGAGCAAAAAATTGAGTGAACAACTTCAAGTTTCTCAACACAGTACACGTACCAATACAATTTCAAACAGAATGGTCGTGAGAATACAGAAAATCATCAAGTACAGAAGCCAATGCCAGGAAGTACAAAAGTTTTGTAATTAATTATAGATTGACTTAACAAAAGCACTCTGGGTAATAGTGATGCTCTTTCCAGTCATTCATGTGTTAGTTCACATAAACAGGTTTACAATGGCTTTCACGAGAATGACAAACAATTTTAAGAATTTTAATCTTCAATGGGTTCAAGTCTGATTGAGCGAAGATAGTAAGGGTATATAAAAAAAATATATAGGTCCAAAATAAATTATGCAAGTTGGACAGGAGGCATTTATCATTTAACAAATCTGTTCAGCAAATTAACAAAAGGAAGTGTAAATGTTGGGATGTGGTTATTCTCTATGTCAGGCCTGCTTTCGAATTCTACCTATAATAAAATTTTACAGTTCTGTAGTTCTGTCAATAACAGGGCTGTCACCTGTAGCCTCGTTCTCCACACGCGTAGCAAACTTGTTACTTTGTGGGTAAATTCTATCAACAACAGGCAATTTCACCCATAGCATTACGGGAAAATGAAATGACGGCCCTGAATAATACATGTAAATGTAACAATGTTTTCAAAAATTGTGTGGTGAGCAAGTTGTGTGATCTTTGAATTACAGGTACAAGTAGCTGTACAAATTTGAGTTCTGCGCTCTTCTGTTTATAAATTCTACATGCAGTTTCTATTAAATCCAATGGAAACCCTTCTTATATACAGTGTATTTTCATTATGACTCAATGCGCTGTGCTTTAAATTCTTTCTGAACAGATTACAGTTACAGTTGAACTATTATCAAATACCTGGAAAGGACTTCTAAAAACATCAGGAATGACACCTGCAAAAATAATATCCCACATGAACAAGCAGTAGAGTGAGGAGTAGGTTGATCCTTCACCATGGATTCCCTGATCAAATCCCTGCTGCCGGTAATATGACAAGGCATATTCCTCCACTGCACAGAATGTTTTTGTACCATCAATAACTTGGCCACTTTGGTCAATCTCAGGAGAAATGAAGACACCAAGCTCAGCACATCTTGTCCCAGAGATGGTGATCTGTAATCATTAGGATTGGCAAAAAAGCAAGATAACAAAGGAAGGTCGTCCATCAAATGCTTGATTCTAGGATACATGGCTTTTTGTTTTTAGATAAGCTAAAAGAGAACAACAAAACAAAGGGCAAAAACATTGTTTAGAACAATGCTGAATGTTTGGGTGCTTTCTATTATGCCAAAGATACCAGAAATTTTGTTTGGAAGTCAAATGGAAAGGTCTGTTTTGGTTCCTTCCAACCAGAATATTCTGGATCACCTCTGGAGGTAGTCCACTTTGACCAGTCAGACCAGTCCAACTGAAGTTTGCTGTTCCATTTTCATTGACAAACTGGTTCATTGCCCTCCTTCTCTTCACTTATGTAGGGAATTCAGAAAAGGAATAAAAATGATAACAGTCATTCCTGGTCAGCTGGCATAATGGAAAACATCCTTTGTACATGTACTTCAAACTTGCAAACAAAAAAAATTAAAAGTGGTAACTAGACTGTTAATATAATTATTTAATTACCCAATTATTTGACTGCTGAGTGTTGAATTATCATAAATTAAACTGGAGTGATGCTTACACTTTTGGACGGGTTTGGTTCCTCTAAATCAAGGTCTGCAAACTCTTCGCACTTTTTCTTCTTTCCTTTTTGAAACGCAGGTGAAGAGAGGATACGCCTAGCTCTCTGTATCAGTGCAAGCCGACGCCCAAATCGAACATGTGGATCTGATAAACCCTGTCTGATAACCACCATAGCCTTTCACAGAGAGAAAATATCAGAAAGTGTCAACAGTAAATAAGTATTTATTAAATATATGAGTTATTGACCAAGCCTGAGTTCAATATGGATGATACATGTAGTGGCTGATATGTAGCCATATCGATCATCAAGCTTGGTCAATAAAGGATTTTACAGGTATTACAGGATAAAGATCACCACTCTCATGTGGGAAACAGTGGGTAATGCCTGCATGGACAATCAATCACAGCACAGGAGTTGGCTCATCTTTTCTAATAATGGGTTACCTGTTCGTCACACAAATTTGCAATTATGTAAGATCAAACAAATATGAAAATGTGTTTATTGAATAGTTACAATTAGGACCATTCACTCAAACGTTTAAGCAACCACTACTTCCTCGATGCTGTCCAAATATACAATCACGTGTTTGTTCGTTCTTCGCCAGTGAGCCCAGTAACGTGAGAAGTAGATATTCATTGTCAATCCTATAGAAAATGCCAAGAAAAATGGGAGTCCTGTACCAATGCCAGCAATTCCCAGACTCGCTGTTGTGTGGCAAGTGGGCTGTTGTTCGTAGTAACTGACTAAGATGGCCATGCCAGTAAGTTGAACGAAAAACATTCCAAAAAATACCACTGTAAACACCAACATAGCAATGTCGTTTGCAGGCATCGGAGGACATTGCCACTGAAATAAAATATACACAGAGGATATTACACGGTGACGAAACGATATGAATTTTATGTTAGACTGGCAAAAACAAGATTTCATGAGTGAGCGCCCTCGGAAGGGCACCAACTTGGCGTTACCATACAAAGCTCTATTGACTTGGGTGAAACACTTCTCCAGATAACGCGCGAATGAAAAGCCGCACAGACCTAACTCTTGGTCGGTGATGTTGTTTACATATCAATCATCTATCATGTCTCAGATTTTTGACTTAATTGATTGAATGGTTACGATTTTAATTTTTGATTGCGTGACGTTGCAAACCAGCCATATACAACAGAAACCCCCATCGCGAAGTTACAAAACTCTGGGTTAGCTTAATCGGGCTTTGAACAACCCGGCCTAGAAGGATCAATACGTTAAAGCGAACCTTGCTCACGTGGACAACCCAAGCTGCTCTTCGCGCATTCTCATTCCCGGCGAACATTACCTGTTGGAGAACTGGGCACTATCTATAAAAACATTGGCGCAATTTGTCTAGATCCTGTGCGGTTTTCTTCAAGGCCTTCCAGGTCGATTCTTTATTATATTTTTTTAATTTAATTTTTTTTTTTTCATTCATGTTTGCATAACAATCTGACGTCGCAACAATTCGGTGAAAATTGCTGGAGAAAGTTCAGACAAAAGATTGAGGTCGCATTTGATGTGGGAGACGTTGAAAAAAAGTAGAGGGCGAGCACATGGTGTGGGAAGTCGGAAATCGCTGAAAAAATGCAAACCCTTTGAAATAAAGGAACTTCCCTGCAGCAGCAAGCAAAATACATAGTTGATATTTTCGACCTCTCAAAACAGGCTAACGTTAGGCTAAAGGCATGCCATTGAATAATGCAACTTACTTATCACTGAATCATATTTAAAAGCATTGCATCAGATTTTCCCGATTATAAGGTGCTTGCTGGGATGTTTTTAATTTGAAATTCGGCGTGAACGTTTGTTTGAAAGTAGCTTTGCAATTTAAACCTTTTTTTCAACCGCGCGTTAAAATAATAGCCCGTCTGGACACTAGCTGACTTTTGTGAATGGCGCGTTAAACAGCGCGTTAGTTTGTTAGTTAAATATAAGCGTAGTACACTGTTAAACAAGTATCACGCTTAAATTCAGTGCAGATTACCTGTCTTATCGGTTTGAAAATTCTTTTCGTGCGGAAGTGGTAATTGCAGATCGGGCATCTGTCGGTGTACACAGCACTTAACCACGTCTCTAAACACGACTTGTGTACCTCCCCCATGGTTCCTTTACACCAGCACACTCTATGTAAAGATTCGTTTTGTTCTCCGCCAGTGTTGTGACATATTCGGCACATTGGAAGATCATCCCCCAACGAAATAGAGGTTAAAGAGCACGAAACTGGGAGTACGGCTGGAGTTTGACACTCTTCAGCCATCGTAACAGCTTCACTATCACATGAACTCTTTCATTTTAAGCGAAAGCAACGTCACAATTGATTTCACTACACGGTTGCCATGACTGCGTAAAAGCGCGCGCGCGCTCTGTTCGTGAGGATCCCTGACCGTTTTGAGAAAGCTTATACGAAGTAATCGTTCATAATTATATGCCATCGGGACGAAACCGTTTAGTTTCCGCACTCCACACAGACTAAAACCTGTGCATGGGTGCAGATATCGAAACCTTCGGACAGTAGGCTATGTTAATTAGGCGAGCATTGCAATGACGGCAAACTTGTTTCTTCATTACGCGAGCTGACATTTTTGGGAGGACATTTAACAGAATGGTGCGTTACATAATCAACAGAATGTCTCATTGTATCCAAAAGGTTTACGTCTTTGCTCATTATCTATGGGTGCAACTTACGTTGTGTTGCAGCCACAGAATCAGTCACTACAAAGAGTTTGTAAAGCTTCACAAACTCGTTACGGCTTTTCGAGGATAACCTCATATTTATCACTTCAAAGAAATCTCAGGCTCACTATTGAAAATGATATAAAAATGAAGTATTTAAATATGTAAATTATATGCAGTATTCTCAAAATACAAATTAAATTGTCTATGTACACCGATGAAAATATCAAGTCTTACAAGAAGGAAACAAACAAACAAACAAACAAACAGACAAACAGACAAACATAAAACAACGAGGAGATGCAAGAAATCGCTATAACATTTAGCGCTGAGAATGGAAATTTCATAACACCACTTGACAATAATGGTAGGAATGTTTAAGTAACTCCTTTATTACCATTGCAGACTGGGTAATAGTTTCCTCGTCGACTGTATTTTACTTTGAAACTTTAAGGCGCTTGGCACCTACAGCTGAAAAAGAAAACAGATATACTCAGTCGGAGTGGGTATGTTTTCTTCCCTGTTGATCAGAGTAACAAGTGGAACCCTTTTCCCTGGATACACGACTAGGTTTACCAGAGTAAGCAGTACCGAAATAGTACCACTGTCGTCCTATATCCTGGCCAAACAGGTTGGCACTAATCATTAGTTTTCAGTTATGAATTAATTGTGTACAAACTGGCGTTCAGAGAACAAACGGACAAATAGACTTGCCAACGTATGTAAGTTTCCGAGCAAACGAAGCGAGACGAAAAAAAAATTCAAACAAAACAATCGAATGGTTTAGCGTGGTTTCTGCGCGCGCTGCCTCTAAAAAGTCGAAGAAAGCATTACGTTGGGCAGCTAAAAGGTGAAAGGGTGTAACAAATCGCACCGGCCTGCTCAAAGTAAACGCCAATCCGAAATGAAATCGCAAGCTAAGTGGACACAACATATATTTAGGGTCAATTAAGAATTTTACTTCGATTTCATACAGGCTGCCATCCAGAAGAATTGCCTTGAATAGCGAAATACTCCCTTCCATGTCTTGGAAATGATAAAACAGTTTCCAATCAATCATTAGGTCCATTCCCTTTACTGATGAGTTTAATTATTCTCATCACATTCACGCCTCACTTTGTACGAGCAACTAACGAGAAATTACATGTAGTTACTACATTACTTTCAAAAATTTTCGGACGATTTTAATTTCGGACAAAGAGGTGTCCGAAAATAAAACCTTCCGAGAGTTTTAAGCGCCCGAAATATTTACAGTACAGTATAATATTTATATATTTATATTTTATCTAAATCTTTGAAGTAGTTCCAAAGCTCTTAGTTTCCTTTATGGAGCGAACTCTAGTTGAGACACTGCTTGAAGTGCGTAACGGTTTGATAGAATTTTCCTTATTGTCCCGTCGCTGTATCTATAAACCCTTGAGGGTGCAGAAAAACTATCATTTTCACAGATGTTGTTCCAGTCCAAAACGTGTTTTGTAGGTGTAAATTTACGTTAGCAATGTTTCGGCAAAGTGTCCGAAATTTTAACGTACGAAATTTTTTGCAAGTAATGTACTCTCCTTTGAGACTGAAAGGCAGCGCTAAAAGTTACACTTAATAGGAGAATGATAGTATTTGTATGCCTTACCAGTGACATAACAGACTTCAACATTCGCTCCAAGTGATGCCAACACATCAAGCCAGATTTGTTGCTTAGTAGAGAGCTTGTCTCCAGGTCCCTTGACCTCAGCAATCTGACGGTACAATTACAAAAAAAACACTACACTTAGTTCAGGACCCGTGATGGAGAATTGATGCGTTTTACAGCGGAATGTTCCGTAAGTTTTGAAATTTTTGTATTGTTTTCCAGTTATTCCTTTCCATTCAACAACCAACTAAGCTACATGAATTACATGTATCAGTCGAAGCAAGTTTGTGAAGCAGACCTTAAGAAACCAATACCTTTATTTAGGAACCAAGTTCTCTACAAGGTGGGGATGCTTGGCACTTTGGCAAAGGAGAAATTCCAAAGCTAAAATTCCAATAATTACTTCTTAATACCAAAACCTCTCAAAGACAAAGTATTCCACGCCTTCACGGTAGAGGAATCTTCACCCGGTCCCATGTCAACCAGTGTCGTTCTAAATATATAATTTTTTCTTCTAACACTGATGGTTTTTCTGTTTGTGGTAAATCTGATTCATCACAATCTCGTCACAATACATGTACTTGTATCTTACCATGTAATCCAAAGTAGACGAATTCCACACCACTAGGTCAGGCAAACCAGATCGATGATAGCGATAACCTTGAGCGAACCGAGTAAATATGCCTGATAACACCTGGCCACCCAGACAAGCCACCAGTTGCTAGAGAAAGAGAAAAATTGCTTCAGTATTACAAAGATGCACATGAGCTGAAGCGATTGAAGTGTATTATCCCTGCAGTCATCGCAATACAGATTTGTTAGCATAATCCTAAGACAAGGAAAAAAGCAGATCAAACCATAGTTTGAAATCAATTGAACCTGAAAGTGCTTTACAACAACAGGGGTTTTATTAAGGGCTGGGCACCAGGCAAACTGACCAGCTGTGAGAATGATTAAGGCTGCCTGGTTTGACCATCTACGGGAAAGTTTCTCTCACTTATAAAGAAGTTCAGTTCAAAACATTTTGCCCGGCTGTGAAAACCAGTTACCCTCCTGCTGAAAACGTTAACAAAACCCCTGAAACTACAACAATTTTATTACACAAGTCATGTGAGGTACATATAGGTTTTTAGTGTTTGAACCATTGGAGCCAATTCAAGTGGCCCCATTAGGCAGGCGCTTATAGTACCCGCTTTCCATAGCATACAGTGACAGAGTATTTCTACTCCCCTCTAGATGGCATGCTAGTCCGTTACAGGGTTACCCCCAGCATTAAATTCTCACCAGTACCCATGTATACACCCGTTGGAGAGAGGCACTGTGAGAGTAAAGCATCTTGCCCAAGAACACAACACAATGAACCTGCCAGGGCTAGAACCCAGACCTGACCATTTGATCCTGAGTTCAGCACTCTAGGTATTTAGTCATCACATCTCCCAAAGGCTCTTGATAGAAGGCAAGAATACCACAAGATAAAGACTGCTCCACACCTTCGCTTGTTCTACATTTGTGAACCGATCCCAGTTGAGGCCTGCACAAAGCTCGCTTTCATGATTATTCCATGTCTTGACAAGTATTTCCTGAAGTTTCTGAAAGAAGGAAAATTAAGTAACAACTATAGTTAGTACCACATATTTGGGTAACTAGCAATAATTAAACAATGACAAGAGTAGCATCCATCTACCTTGACTGGTGCTGCTGTTATCTCTTCCAACCTCTTGACAATCATTTCCTTGCGGCTGGTGTAAAATGAGTCAAAACATATGTCTAAAGGTGCAGCCTAAGAGCAAAAAATTGAGTGAACAACTTCAAGTTTCTCAACACAGTACACGTACCAATACAATTTCAAACAGAATGGTCGTGAGAATACAGAAAATCATCAAGTACAGAAGCCAATGCCAGGAAGTACAAAAGTTTTGTAATTAATTATAGATTGACTTAACAAAAGCACTCTGGGTAATAGTGATGCTCTTTCCAGTCATTCATGTGTTAGTTCACATAAACAGGTTTACAATGGCTTTCACGAGAATGACAAACAATTTTAAGAATTTTAATCTTCAATGGGTTCAAGTCTGATTGAGCGAAGATAGTAAGGGTATATAAAAAAAATATATAGGTCCAAAATAAATTATGCAAGTTGGACAGGAGGCATTTATCATTTAACAAATCTGTTCAGCAAATTAACAAAAGGAAGTGTAAATGTTGGGATGTGGTTATTCTCTATGTCAGGCCTGCTTTCGAATTCTACCTATAATAAAATTTTACAGTTCTGTAGTTCTGTCAATAACAGGGCTGTCACCTGTAGCCTCGTTCTCCACACGCGTAGCAAACTTGTTACTTTGTGGGTAAATTCTATCAACAACAGGCAATTTCACCCATAGCATTACGGGAAAATGAAATGACGGCCCTGAATAATACATGTAAATGTAACAATGTTTTCAAAAATTGTGTGGTGAGCAAGTTGTGTGATCTTTGAATTACAGGTACAAGTAGCTGTACAAATTTGAGTTCTGCGCTCTTCTGTTTATAAATTCTACATGCAGTTTCTATTAAATCCAATGGAAACCCTTCTTATATACAGTGTATTTTCATTATGACTCAATGCGCTGTGCTTTAAATTCTTTCTGAACAGATTACAGTTACAGTTGAACTATTATCAAATACCTGGAAAGGACTTCTAAAAACATCAGGAATGACACCTGCAAAAATAATATCCCACATGAACAAGCAGTAGAGTGAGGAGTAGGTTGATCCTTCACCATGGATTCCCTGATCAAATCCCTGCTGCCGGTAATATGACAAGGCATATTCCTCCACTGCACAGAATGTTTTTGTACCATCAATAACTTGGCCACTTTGGTCAATCTCAGGAGAAATGAAGACACCAAGCTCAGCACATCTTGTCCCAGAGATGGTGATCTGTAATCATTAGGATTGGCAAAAAAGCAAGATAACAAAGGAAGGTCGTCCATCAAATGCTTGATTCTAGGATACATGGCTTTTTGTTTTTAGATAAGCTAAAAGAGAACAACAAAACAAAGGGCAAAAACATTGTTTAGAACAATGCTGAATGTTTGGGTGCTTTCTATTATGCCAAAGATTCCAGAAATTTTGCTTGGAAGTCAAACGGAAAGGTCCGTTTTGGTTCCTTCCAACCGGAATATTCTGGATCACCTCTGAAGGTAGTCCACTTTGACTGGTCAGACCGGTCCAACTGCAGGTTGCTGTTCCATTTTGACAAACCGGTTCATTGCCAACCTTCTCTTCACTTATGTAGGGAATTCAGAAAAGGAATAAAAATGATAAGAGTCATTCCTGGTCAGCTGGCATAATGGAAAACATCCTTTGTACATGTACTTCAAACTTGCAAGCAAAAAAAATTAAAAGTGGTAACTAGACTGTTAATATAATTATTTAATTACCCAATTATTTGACTGCTGAGTGTTGAATTATCATAAATTAAACTGGAGTGATGCTTACACTTTTGGACGGGTTTGGTTCCTCTAAATCAAGGTCTGCAAACTCTTCGCACTTTTTCTTCTTTCCTTTTTGAAACGCAGGTGAAGAGAGGATACGCCTAGCTCTCTGTATCAGTGCAAGCCGACGCCCAAATCGAACATGTGGATCTGATAAACCCTGTCTGATAACCACCATAGCCTTTCACAGAGAGAAAATATCAGAAAGTGTCAACAGTAAATAAGTATTTATTAAATATATGAGTTATTGACCAAGCCTGAGTTCAATATGGATGATACATGTAGTGGCTGATATGTAGCCATATCGATCATCAAGCTTGGTCAATAAAGGATTTTACAGGTATTACAGGATAAAGATCACCACTCTCATGTGGGAAACAGTGGGTAATGCCTGCATGGACAATCAATCACAGCACAGGAGTTGGCTCATCTTTTCTAATAATGGGTTACCTGTGGAGCTGCAGAATTATATTTATTTATAAGAAAGTTTACTATGTACAGTAGTTCTGAGCAGTACTGTATGCCAAGATCAAGATAACTTGAGAAAATTTCCATAACAGGAATTTCTCCCAGTTCTAACTTAATTTGAAAGTATTTCAAGTACATTATTGCATAAAACCAATCTGGATAACAGCCTGCATGAACGTTAGTATCTCACATAAAATAATAATCTTTACATGTAGCATCTCACATGCAAAGTTCTCCAACCATGCATCTCTTACAGTGAGAACAACTGACAGCCTGGTTAAGGGGAACACAATCATTTAAATCAAAATATGTCATTAATAGTTGGTACACAAGGGATAGTACAACATGTACCTTTTCAGGTTGTTTTAAATGCTGATGCAAATTCAGCGCAAGTCTGTCATACCAGCGTCCACGAGAATCAAAACAAAACACATCTTGCTGAAGCAAAGTTTGCAGTTGATTGACAGCTTCATCATATCGCCGCCACTTCTGTAAGACTTCAACTCCATAATAACACATCTTAGTGATGGCCCACTCCGCACTGAAGCATCGCAAGTGTTCTGAGAGGAGCACAGCTGAAATTTCTGAATTGTCTTTCAGTTTTGCAAGAATATCACTGAATTTCTTTGATGCTTCAGGATAATAGCTGTATGCTTGCTCAAAATCATTATTTTCTAGTGCTACAAGCATTTCATGCTTTTGCTGGTATGCTTCTGCAAATGTAATGAGACTGTCACGAGAATGGAACACAGGTGTGGGTCTGTCAATCACGTACGCTGGGTAGACAACTTTGCCGATGTTAGCAAGGTAGAGTGTTGACCTAAAAATCAGAAGTACATCTTAGATGAAAAAACAATGTCATAGCATTTGACACAGGCATGGTTTTCTGTCAATTCGTGGCTTGTCTTTTTTTAATATATATGTAACCTTGAACTTTGAAATTTATTTCAGCTGCAAAATTTTCTTACTGAAAAATACAGGTATAAAGCCACAACCTATTTAATATACAGGTAATGTATAATTTATTTTTATGGACATAACCTTTGAAAAGGTAACCTCTACATTCAACATGTCTAGATCCCTTTCCCAGATTTGTTTTCCACCCCCAACCCCCAAACAACAACAACAAACTTAAATATAGTCAGATTGTGTCTTTGGGTGAAGAGTTACATGTAAGTGTCTTACATACTCAAGAGCACAACTAATATAAACAGAAAGGATGAGAATCCTGGTCATTGTGTTGTGTACATCAGTAATACATGCACCCTGTACACGCATGTCAAACTTACACGTCAAAACTGGAAAATATGTGCAACTTAGTCACAAAAGGCCATATTGATATTCTCGGTTTTGGACTGGAACTACCTTGAAATGAGGGCTCATGCAAGGGAATAACATTAAAAAGAGATTAATGTCATTTGCATTTGAAAAGACTCCTGCATCAGCCTCATTTCCAAGCTAGTTCCAGTCCAACACCGAGAATACCAACATGGTCTATTGGTTTTGGTTTTACTTCTGATTGGATAACAAAGTGGCACAAGTCTTTTTTTTTTAAGCCAATCACTTAGTGAAGTAATTACCGTAAAACCGTTACATAGTAAATGTGAAGAAGAAACTTGTACAATCATGTACATGCACCGGAGTAAATTACAACTCTGGTGAGGTTTTCAACAGGTCGGGGTCACTGATCATTGGGACAAAAGGAGCAAGATATTTACAGTTGCTGAGCTTGTCCATTGTTTGTGGTATCCTCATCATCTGGAATGACATTCATGGTAAACAACAACAGCAGTCGGCAAAACACTTCCCTGGGATCAGCAGCCAGTCTGACACAACATCCAAGGGTGTGCTTAGCTCTGTTAGTAGTAAAAATTTTTAAGTGAAGAAGTGAACAAGATGGATTTTAATGTACATACTTGTACATGTAAAGAGAGGCAGAGTGACCCAATAACAATACTTATCTTGGCAGGAGCCATTCCTTCTGCCTAGGTTTATAATTTGGTACAAACAAACTTTAATCTGATCACTGTTATCTGACAAATTGCTACACTTAGGTAGTGTGTTTTAAGGGAAGAGCAGTGGAAAGGGGGGAGGGGGAGTAAGCACACAAGGTGTACATGCAACTGTAACAACCCATACAGAACGAAAAGTGAGACTTATGCACTGGCCTTATGCAATATGTCATGCTCTGGAAAACCAGAGTCCTAGTCAGGAAACAAAAAGTCATCTGGCTAAGTTAGACTCACATGTTTACATAATTATATTAATATACGCTTAGATCCTTACTTTTTCAAAACAACACCTTTAAGGCTTCCAAAGAGTGTCTTCTGGTTTTCAGCATGGTTTACTATCATTTCTATTGTGTCCTCCTTGGTCACTCCTTTCTGTCCAGCAGATTTTGAGGAAATGTTAAGAGATTTGCCCAAATGTTTCAACTCTGGAGATGCTATAAGGTTTAACGTCTCTCTGAGTTCTGTGAGTTGACCTTGGTCTTCTAAAAAACCTGCACAGCAAGAGGGCATAAGTACCAGTAAGTTATGATTGATCAAACATAACTTACAAATCTATGTATACCCTTATATGTACATATAGTTGAATCGATTTCTCAACCCTCAAATTTTTCTGTTCTCAAACCAAAAGATGTTTTGCTCCCGTCAGTCAAACACTGCTATTTTACCCCCGCTTTCCTTTCAAGCCAATTTTTGTTTCCCTTGGAGAATTGAAAAATCCACTGTATAAGGGTGCAGGTTCCACTCTTTTACAGTGGAATTCCGATTTTCCAAACCTCAAGGGAAACAAAAATTGGTTTGGAAAATCGGTTGTTATAAAATAATGAATCAATCAATCAATCAATCTAGAAAATGTTTTCAGCAAAAATGCATTGTAAGGAACTTGAAAAATCTGCAACTTTCCTTGTACTCCGAGTTTAAAATGCGTTGGATGGTTCGTGAATCTCTGAGCAGTACTGTACATGTATATGTACAGTACAGTGTGTCTTGTAACACTTGCAATAACCCTGTACACAAAGTACAGCCTAGCAAGTAGAAATTAAATATTTCTAGTACTAAAAAGAGATGTCCAAGATTAACTTTACCTTTTTCCACAAGAGAGTTTAAAATCGGNTAAACAGGTTTACACTGGCTTTCACGAGAATGACAAACAATTTTAAGAATTTTAATCTTCAATGGGTTCAAGTCTGATTGAGCGAAGATAGTAAGGGTATATAAAAAAAATATATAGGTCCAAAATAAATTATGCAAGTTGGACAGGAGGCATTTATCATTTAACAAATCTGTTCAGCAAATTAACAAAAGGAAGTGTAAATGTTGGGATGTGGTTATTCTCTATGTCAGGCCTGCTTTCGAATTCTACCTATAATAAAATTTTACAGTTCTGTAGTTCTGTCAATAACAGGGCTGTCACCTGTAGCCTCGTTCTCCACACGCGTAGCAAACTTGTTACTTTGTGGGTAAATTCTATCAACAACAGGCAATTTCACCCATAGCATTACGGGAAAATGAAATGACGGCCCTGAATAATACATGTAAATGTAACAATGTTTTCAAAAATTGTGTGGTGAGCAAGTTGTGTGATCTTTGAATTACAGGTACAAGTAGCTGTACAAATTTGAGTTCTGCGCTCTTCTGTTTATAAATTATACATGCAGTTTCTATTAAACCCAATGGAAACCCTTCTTATATACAGTGTATTTTCATTATGACTCAATGTGCTGTGCTTTAAATTCTTTCTGAACAGATTACAGTTACAGTTGAACTATTATCAAATACCTGGAAAGGACTTCTAAAAACATCAGGAATGACACCTGCAAAAATAATATCCCACATGAACAAGCAGTAGAGTGAGGAGTAGGTTGATCCTTCACCATGGATTCCCTGATCAAATCCCTGCTGCCGGTAATATGACAAGGCATATTCCTCCACTGCACAGAATGTTTTTGTACCATCAATAACTTGGCCACTTTGGTCAATCTCAGGAGAAATGAAGACACCAAGCTCAGCACATCTTGTCCCAGAGATGGTGATCTGTAATCATTAGGATTGGCAAAAAAGCAAGATAACAAAGGAAGGTCGTCCATCAAATGCTTGATTCTAGGATACATGGCTTTTTGTTTTTAGATAAGCTAAAAGAGAACAACAAAACAAAGGGCAAAAACATTGTTTAGAACAATGCTGAATGTTTGGGTGCTTTCTATTATGCCAAAGATACCAGAAATTTTGTTTGGAAGTCAAATGGAAAGGTCTGTTTTGGTTCCTTCCAACCAGAATATTCTGGATCACCTCTGGAGGTAGTCCACTTTGACCAGTCAGACCAGTCCAACTGAAGTTTGCTGTTCCATTTTCATTGACAAACTGGTTCATTGCCCTCCTTCTCTTCACTTATGTAGGGAATTCAGAAAAGGAATAAAAATGATAACAGTCATTCCTGGTCAGCTGGCATAATGGAAAACATCCTTTGTACATGTACTTCAAACTTGCAAACAAAAAAAATTAAAAGTGGTAACTAGACTGTTAATATAATTATTTAATTACCCAATTATTTGACTGCTGAGTGTTGAATTATCATAAATTAAACTGGAGTGATGCTTACACTTTTGGACGGGTTTGGTTCCTCTAAATCAAGGTCTGCAAACTCTTCGCACTTTTTCTTCTTTCCTTTTTGAAACGCAGGTGAAGAGAGGATACGCCTAGCTCTCTGTATCAGTGCAAGCCGACGCCCAAATCGAACATGTGGATCTGATAAACCCTGTCTGATAACCACCATAGCCTTTCACAGAGAGAAAATATCAGAAAGTGTCAACAGTAAATAAGTATTTATTAAATATATGAGTTATTGACCAAGCCTGAGTTCAATATGGATGATACATGTAGTGGCTGATATGTAGCCATATCGATCATCAAGCTTGGTCAATAAAGGATTTTACAGGTATTACAGGATAAAGATCACCACTCTCATGTGGGAAACAGTGGGTAATGCCTGCATGGACAATCAATCACAGCACAGGAGTTGGCTCATCTTTTCTAATAATGGGTTACCTGTGGAGCTGCAGAATTATATTTATTTATAAGAAAGTTTACTATGTACAGTAGTTCTGAGCAGTACTGTATGCCAAGATCAAGATAACTTGAGAAAATTTCCATAACAGGAATTTCTCCCAGTTCTAACTTAATTTGAAAGTATTTCAAGTACATTATTGCATAAAACCAATCTGGATAACAGCCTGCATGAACGTTAGTATCTCACATAAAATAATAATCTTTACATGTAGCATCTCACATGCAAAGTTCTCCAACCATGCATCTCTTACAGTGAGAACAACTGACAGCCTGGTTAAGGGGAACACAATCATTTAAATCAAAATATGTCATTAATAGTTGGTACACAAGGGATAGTACAACATGTACCTTTTCAGGTTGTTTTAAATGCTGATGCAAATTCAGCGCAAGTCTGTCATACCAGCGTCCACGAGAATCAAAACAAAACACATCTTGCTGAAGCAAAGTTTGCAGTTGATTGACAGCTTCATCATATCGCCGCCACTTCTGTAAGACTTCAACTCCATAATAACACATCTTAGTGATGGCCCACTCCGCACTGAAGCATCGCAAGTGTTCTGAGAGGAGCACAGCTGAAATTTCTGAATTGTCTTTCAGTTTTGCAAGAATATCACTGAATTTCTTTGATGCTTCAGGATAATAGCTGTATGCTTGCTCAAAATCATTATTTTCTAGTGCTACAAGCATTTCATGCTTTTGCTGGTATGCTTCTGCAAATGTAATGAGACTGTCACGAGAATGGAACACAGGTGTGGGTCTGTCAATCACGTACGCTGGGTAGACAACTTTGCCGATGTTAGCAAGGTAGAGTGTTGACCTAAAAATCAGAAGTACATCTTAGATGAAAAAACAATGTCATAGCATTTGACACAGGCATGGTTTTCTGTCAATTCGTGGCTTGTCTTTTTTTAATATATATGTAACCTTGAACTTTGAAATTTATTTCAGCTGCAAAATTTTCTTACTGAAAAATACAGGTATAAAGCCACAACCTATTTAATATACAGGTAATGTATAATTTATTTTTATGGACATAACCTTTGAAAAGGTAACCTCTACATTCAACATGTCTAGATCCCTTTCCCAGATTTGTTTTCCACCCCCAACCCCCAAACAACAACAACAAACTTAAATATAGTCAGATTGTGTCTTTGGGTGAAGAGTTACATGTAAGTGTCTTACATACTCAAGAGCACAACTAATATAAACAGAAAGGATGAGAATCCTGGTCATTGTGTTGTGTACATCAGTAATACATGCACCCTGTACACGCATGTCAAACTTACACGTCAAAACTGGAAAATATGTGCAACTTAGTCACAAAAGGCCATATTGATATTCTCGGTTTTGGACTGGAACTACCTTGAAATGAGGGCTCATGCAAGGGAATAACATTAAAAAGAGATTAATGTCATTTGCATTTGAAAAGACTCCTGCATCAGCCTCATTTCCAAGCTAGTTCCAGTCCAACACCGAGAATACCAACATGGTCTATTGGTTTTGGTTTTACTTCTGATTGGATAACAAAGTGGCACAAGTCTTTTTTTTTTAAGCCAATCACTTAGTGAAGTAATTACCGTAAAACCGTTACATAGTAAATGTGAAGAAGAAACTTGTACAATCATGTACATGCACCGGAGTAAATTACAACTCTGGTGAGGTTTTCAACAGGTCGGGGTCACTGATCATTGGGACAAAAGGAGCAAGATATTTACAGTTGCTGAGCTTGTCCATTGTTTGTGGTATCCTCATCATCTGGAATGACATTCATGGTAAACAACAACAGCAGTCGGCAAAACACTTCCCTGGGATCAGCAGCCAGTCTGACACAACATCCAAGGGTGTGCTTAGCTCTGTTAGTAGTAAAAATTTTTAAGTGAAGAAGTGAACAAGATGGATTTTAATGTACATACTTGTACATGTAAAGAGAAGCAGAGTGACCCAATAACAATACTTATCTTGGCAGGAGCCATTCCTTCTGCCTAGGTTTATAATTTGGTACAAACAAACTTTAATCTGATCACTGTAATCTGACAAATTGCTACACTTAGGTAGTGTGTTTTAAGGGAAGAGCAGTGGAAAGGGGGGAGGGGGAGTAAGCACACAAGGCATACATGCAACTGTAACAACCCATACAGAACGAAAAGTGAGACTTATGCACTAGCCTTATGCAATACGTCATGCTCTGGTAAACCAGAGTTCTAGTCGGAAAATAAAAAGTCATCTGGCTAAGTTAGACTCACATGTTTACATAATTATATTAATATACGCTTACATGTAGATCCTTACTTTTTCAAAACAACACCTTTAAGGCTTCCAAAGAGTGTCTTCTGGTTTTCAGCATGGTTTACTATCATTTCTATTGTGTCCTCCTTGGTCACTCCTTTCTGTCCAGCAGATTTTGAGGAAATGTTAAGAGATTTGCCCAAATGTTTCAACTCTGGAGATGCTATAAGGTTTAACGTCTCTCTGAGTTCTGTGAGTTGACCTTGGTCTTCTAAAAAACCTGCACAGCAAGAGGGCATAAGTACCAGTAAGTTATGATTGATCAAACATAACTTACAAATCTATGTATACCCTTATATGTACATATAGTTGAATCGATTTCTCAACCCTCAAATTTTTCTGTTCTCAAACCAAAAGATGTTTTGCTCCCGTCAGTCAAACACTGCTATTTTACCCCCGCTTTCCTTTCAAGCCAATTTTTGTTTCCCTTGGAGAATTGAAAAATCCACTGTATAAGGGTGCAGGTTCCACTCTTTTACAGTGGAATTCCGATTTTCCAAACCTCAAGGGAAACAAAAATTGGTTTGGAAAATCGGTTGTTATAAAATAATGAATCAATCAATCAATCAATCTAGAAAATGTTTTCAGCAAAAATGCATTGTAAGGAACTTGAAAAATCTGCAACTTTCCTTGTACTCCGAGTTTAAAATGCGTTGGATGGTTCGTGAATCTCTGAGCAGTACTGTACATGTATATGTACAGTACAGTGTGTCTTGTAACACTTGCAATAACCCTGTACACAAAGTACAGCCTAGCAAGTAGAAATTAAATATTTCTAGTACTAAAAAGAGATGTCCAAGATTAACTTTACCTTTTTCCACAAGAGAGTTTAAAATCGGTGTTAAATTGCTGCTAATTTTTGGGTATTCCAACTTGCTGCACCTAAACCAGCCACGTTTACGTTGGAAAAGACGTATATACAACTTCTGTTCCTCTGGAGACATTCCATTAAATGTATCAATAATATGATTGTCTGACTCATCAAACAACTTCCTGTCGTCCTCATTTGACAACACATTGTTTAAAACTAACTTGAAATTAGCTAGGTAATATGGCTCATAATCTTTGTTTTCATGGTTATTAACATCTTCTGAATTTTCTTCAGACAGGCTTTTGTTATGTCCTTCTGTTGTGGGACAATTTGACTGATCTGATAGTAAATCCATTTGTTTTGTTTGTAAATTGCCACTGTTTTGAGTCAATGTTTCCTCTGCTTCAGCCACACATTTAGCAAAGGAGCATTGACTTGAAGACTCTTGCTCAGCAATGCCACCACATGCAACATCACAACCATTATTTAAAGTGTCACAATTGTCTTTCTTTCTGACTATCTTATCTGCCTTTTTCTCCAGAGTGGCAATATCAGAGTCATGGATTATTGCAGTTTCTGATGCAGAAGAAACTTCCCATAGAGTAGACTTTTCATCCCTTGATTGTGGACGTTTGGCATCAACTTTAAAGCCTTTAGCTGAGGCAGTTTTATCTTGAGAAGTTACTGAAACTGTTCCTTTCTCCTCTGACTCTCTATGACTATTAGAGCCAGGCAGTTTGTTTGCTTTACATGTAGATGTTGCTTTACTTGAACTATGGCTATGCTGTCCAAAATAGCTTTTACAATTGTTATCCAAATGTTGGTTTATCTTGGAAAGTATAACAACTTTTCCACACATTGGACAGGAAACAGTCTTTGGGCTGTACGGTTTCTTGAACCATGTTGCTATACTCTTCTTTGCATTGTTATGTTGCGTAGAGGACTCGACGTTTCTATCTGTAAATGGAATCTTCGTACGGTTCTCTTTCGATTCAATGGAAATTTCATCCAAGGAAAGAACTATTTTTTCTGAGCTTTCATCTAAAAGGCAAACGTCTCTGTTCGCGTCTTCTACATCTGTGTTGCTTTTCTTGCGCTTACGAGAAAGAGAAAACCTTGTTCTTTTTTTATCCATTTTAAGGCTCGCAAAACAATGGAAACTTCAAAAACGATACCAACGCAAAATTATATGAAATAGCATATTGGCAGTACGGTAATTAGATCCGTAAAATAAGCGCACTGAAACAGAAAAGTGATTCCCGCCTTCCGCCATTTTGAAAATGAACCAGCAGTATTTCGGGAGCGGAAGAAATCGTGGAGCGGAAACGAGGCCTCGTTACCAGTTCTCTGCCAAATCTCAACAACGAAACAAAATGGCGACGAACAAGTTCCAGCAAATTTTCGTAATACTGGATAGTCTATAATCTTGTGATGGCATCCAGTTCTATTTCAGGGAGTAGCAATCCGTTTGGAGCCACAGAAAGAACGGGAGGTTCTGGTGCTGTGCCGAAATCGTTGAGAACAAATGTCGAAAGTGAATCCATGGCCACCGAGAGGAAGTCAGAGGAACGAGAACATTTCTCGGCTTCTGAAAGCTTTTACCAGAGAATGGAAACAATGATAAACAAAGAAGATGTGCAGTCTATTCTGGACAAGCAGAAAGAGACGTAAGTGACTTCTGCGTTGATATTGATATCTTCATCAATATGTATCAGTCAATTCCAGCTTTGACCATCTGATCAACTGTCCGACTGACCAACTTACCGACCGACCGACTGACTGCCCGACTGACCAACTGACTGACTGACTGACTGACTGACTGACTGACTGACTTACTGACCAACGCACCTACGGACCAACTGACCAACTGACCGACTGACTGACCGACTAACCGACTGATTGACTAGCTGATTGATTGGTTGATTGATTGACTGTTTGATTGATTGACAGGCTAACAAAATTTGAGAAGACAAATGCAAAATTCGGCAGATTCAATGACTTGTCTGCTGCACGATTCCTGCACTTGAATCAACAACTAAGAAATCACACAAAGATGTTGTTAGACATGAAAAAGGATTTGGATTCTGTCTTCAGAAGAATAAGGTGACAATTTTTATTGTATGAATGAAAATAATTTTACTATATCTCATCAGTTTTGTAGTTTTTAGCAAGTAAATTATTTACAATGAAGGGGCTGATGATTTACATGTAAAACTGTAATTTGTTATTGTATGTAATACGAGAGGTGCGTGTAGGTGAGTCCATAAAATCAGTTAACTGCTTGAATTTCTAACTTTACATTCATGTACAAGTGTGCCTATTATAAGTGTATGTAAGATAATCGTGTGTTACAGTAGGTGCTTATTTTGTTGGATTCTGTGTTCATAAGTAGGTGAAAACTATTGATTTGTGTCATTTATTGGATTTTTTAAAGAACTGTTAAGGCTAAGCTGGCAAAGCAATATGGACCTGCATTTCATGGTAGGTGTTGGTACCCACAGGGCATCAATGAGCTTGTTGAGATTTTTCTTGCTTTAATTCACACATTTGGTTTTGATATTAAATTCACCATATAACAGAGCAATTTAAACCCCAGTACTTCTCCCTGAAAATTAATGCCCTGTACATTACCCCCACAAATCATTCTTCGTGTATCTACTTTCCCCTCCCCTGTAGACAACACCCTCCCTGTGTATATTCTCACATCTTCATACTGATTTTAGCCATCTTAAATCATCTCTACCCTGAGAAACTTGTAATACAATGTACTCTATGCACATAGTCTAATGAGACCTTATGCCTCCCATGGCATGGTAAGGGTTGATGATGATGATGATGACAATGACGATGACGAGACAGTGAAACTCCACACACCCCTAGATAATACCCTATGTATAGCCTACTTTCCTGATGTTAAATCTATCTACTGGTATTTTAGTCCACCTGCTCCAAATGAAAAAGCAAGGCTTTTCCCAGCCATTTGTCTTGGTTACATCACCATGTTGAATTGACTGTGAAAGCCTGGGAGAAAATCATTTGGAAACTAGACTGCAGTCAATCAAGAGTCCAGGCACTTTCCATTGCATCATCCACTTGACCTTTTTTGTAAAGTCTCATTAATAAAACTCACCTTTTTCCTGATCTTATACATGTCCTCAATTTACCTGTTTCATTTGTCTTGAATTCAGCTATTTCAGCTGGTATACAAAGACTGGAGGAAGAACTTGGTGCAAGCATAGAGAATGAAGATGTCTCTTCCATGGGTACATTATCTGAAAAGCACAAGCGAGACCATGAAAGTCAGACTTCAGATCAGCAACTTGTAGTCGGGCAACAGTCTACAGACCAGGATACTAAAGAAGACATAAGCCAAGAAGATATACCTGCCGTCACATGTAGTACTACTTCAGAGTTGAGGACCCACAATGATCAATCTGAGGACAGAACTGCTGCATCATTAGATATCACCAGTGCAAAGACCGAGAGAGCGGAGATCATTGAAGACTACTTTGAGCCTGAAAATGCAACTGTAGAGAAGACAGAAGGTTTTAATTCACAGGACACTGACAATGGCTCTCTGAGAGATGCATTAAGTGTCCAAAAGAGTAAAGATATTAATAGTACAGTAGACACTGATGAAATCAACCGGACAACGGACACAAGTGATGTGATCAGGTCAGTTGACACAAATGATACAAGAACGACAGTAGACACAAGTGACTCCAGTGAGACAGTAGACACAAGTGACCTGATTGGGACAGTAGACAAAGGTGATGCAAGTAGGACATCAGAGCCAGTTGACACTTGTGGGACAGTAGACACAAGTAACATGAATTTGACTGTAGACACAAGTGACGTGACTAGGTCACTAGACTCAAGTGCCGACACAAGTGGGACAGTAGACACAAGTGATATAACTGAGACAGAACAAGAGAGAAAATAGTTTTGCAGCGTCCTTTTTTGTTTCATCGAATTTTCATGATTTTTGATAGAAACCTCCTGGGACTTGTCAGTGCATCTGAAATCAAAATGTTGTAATCACACCAGATTAATGAAAACAGAATAAAGTTTTGTAATAAAAAAAAAAAAAAATCAGCTTTCTCAGATCTCTAACTACTGTACCAGAGGGGAGAGCTGGAATTTAAACTTCTTAGAGCAAATCACTAAAGCATCAAGTAGTTGTCATACTTATATTGCGACTGAATTGCAAGAATTAATCATCATCACCATTATCATCATCATCGTCATCATCATCATTATCTTTAATTTGCCACACCGTAAATGATAAAAAGTAATAACAAAAACAAAAGGTTGTGAGGAGACCCAGAAAACCACCCGGCTTATCGCGGAGCCCACCTCAGTTGTTTTAAGTTCTGGGTGAGCGTCGTCCCGACCAACCGCCTCTGGGTCTCCGAGGATGGTTCCAACAGTGCCCATCTTAGCATCCTCTGGGCCAGGCTCCAGGTAAAATCCCCAGTGTGGGAATAATAAGTCGGTCGAATGCCCCAGGATGGGGACAAGAAAGGAGACAAATGCTTGTGCCCCTGGGGTTCATCCAAAAAACAAAACCGTACTCAAGACTTGGTAAATCGTAACGAAGAAAATACTAACACTGGGTAGCAGCTGGTGTTGGTATATTAGGGCAGTTTTCACTTGACTGTCGGAAGTATTTCGTGTTTTCTCGATCAGTTTTGCATTAGCACTCTGCGCGATTCGCTTAAAAAAAATAACTTGTGTCACTTTGTCATCCAATAAGAAGTAAGGCCTTGAACCAGTCGTCTCAGTAATCTTGATTCGCTCTCACAAGTTTTCCCGCGCTCTACGTCTGCTACACGTGTTTGCTTTGATTGCTTCACGGGATTGTCTGTAAACTTGTGAGAAACTGACTAGAGTATTGACTTTGGTTTGGTTCTACGACGCGGTTAACTGAAAACAGCTCTATCTTATACCAATGTACTGATTGTTCATTATTTTTTAGTATTATCATTTTTTAGTACTACTATTTCATTTTAGCATGCATGCAAATTTGATTAAGGCTTATTATCAAAAACCTTGAAGTTAAAAAAATGCTGCATGGAAAATATAATTATGTCGAAAACTTCAAGATGTATGATCGTATATTCAACAAACAAAAAAGTAAAAGATCTTTTTTCATAACCTGACCGTCTCGGGTAATCAGACTTATTGATGCATTACTCGTTATGAAATATTTAACAATTATTCCACGAACGCCCGTTGGATATGAGATAGTAGATAGCCAACGAGGCGCACAGAGTTGGCTATAATCATCCGGCATATCCAACAAGCGCAAAGTGGAATAATTATTTTATCAAAAACGCCCTCAATATAGAAAGTAAAATAAAAATAAGACAGTACCAAAAAGTTACGCGTATGCTCACCATATTCGTAGAGCATGGCATAGATAAACAGTAGCCTCAATTTTGCGCGAAAATATATATGCACGGATATTTGTTCCGCGGACATTATCTGTTCCGAGAARCGAACAGTTTTCCGAGAGCGTAGCTCGAGGAAAACTGTGAGCTTCAAGAAACAGATAATGTCCAAGGACAAATATCTGTGCATACATTTTTGCGCCAAATGGCGGCTATTGTGTTTATTATCCTTCT